TCGGTAAGTACACTTATTTTTACATATTTCAATAAACATACATTAAAATTTACCTATACTGCGGCGTACGTACTATGATATTTAACATGAAACGCAGTTCTATTCCCCCCTCAATATTCGCGCTATGCTACCATTTTATGCATTTTTCTATTTTTTAGGCACAAAAACTTCTTCCAAAATCGGCCGTCCTGCTACTATTGCCGAACCTAGTAGCACAGCTGACGGACCTGCAGCGCCAGCCGTATCCACCGATGAACCGCTCGACTTGGCCGACTTAGATCTGTCGCGTCTACGTTTGAGCAAGAAGGATTTAGAAACTTTATCTAGCATCACACCCGGTCTACCAAAATGCTTTCAGGAGCAACTACTCGCCAAATTGCCACCAACGCAGGCGCGTAAATTATCGCGCACATTGAGCATGCAAAGTAATACCCAGACCGCGCCGGTAAAAATTTATAAACGCAGTCAAAGTGGTGGGCGTGGTGTATTGCACAACGCAGGTGTACAAGATCTCAAGGAAAATGTGGCCGAAGAGACAGCCAGTAGCAGCACAGCAAGCAAACGCAGCAGCGATAGCAGTGAACGTCGACACTATGATCCTGTTTATCGGCGCAGTCTTAGTCGTTCGCGTTACGATTATGAATCGAGTATTCCCTCACCGAGCGATGCGGTGTCGAAGAGCCGAAGCAGTAGTGTTTGTCGCGACGACTACAGCAAGTCGATGTGTTCATCATATACGACGGACATAAATGATCGTTACAAATACTATTCGCCATATCTCAGCAAGCCAGCGAAAGAATCGTCCACCGAAAGCGGTTCGGTGTCGCCGCAGAAACGTTACAGTGGTGGTGGTGGTGGTAGTATTGGCGCGCAACGCGAAGTGATCGGTTCTGCGCATGGGCGTCCACCAAGTGGTTGCTTGTCGCCGCCAATTGTAATGGCAGATGGCGGCAGCAGCTCTCTGCGTAGACGCTCTTCGCAGAAACGTATATCACGTTTTCTACGACCAGATTTCTTCGATGAGCCACTAGAAGAGAATCCCTTTCAGCGTGATAAGAAGCAACGCGAACGTGATACTCAAAATGTGCTGCGTGAGATAAGAGAGAAATCTCGTGAGCCGAGTAGAGAACGTTGTAGTTATAGTGACTTAAATGCGGAGGATACAATGGCTCGCAAACACAGCTTACCTAATGCGGAGTTCACGGGCATACCGCAAAAGACAGAGTTGAAGCATGCGCGTAATAAAAGCATGGAAATGTATTCAGAATATCAGCCGGGTAGTAGTTCATCGCAGGAGACCATTAAGAACAATCGGCGAAGTGTCTCGCGGCCACGTGACTTAACCGAAGGACTGCGCAAAAGCGAGCTTGCCGACAAGATATTGGAGGAGCTGCAAATGCTGTCGGCTGCACGAACGCAACAAGAACAACAACAACTACGATCGGCAATGCCAAGAGAAATCTCTGTGGAGCGCTCTTCGGAAACGACAACAAAATCAGTTGTAGAAGGACCGAGCAGTCGTGCCGAAATTGAAGAGAAGGAAACGTCATCTACCATTAAAAAGATAAAAAAGATAAAGCCCAAAGAAAAATCGACTACAACAGAGTCAAGTACAGATGCTGATGCCACTATTACCACGTCTGTGGTGAAAAAAAGTCAAGAAGATTGTAAAGAAGACTGAATCCACAAAGACGACACCTAACGATGCACACGGCAGTGGTTTTCGAATAGCCGAAGATAACCAACTCACACCCTTAGAAATGGAGCAGACAAAGAGAGAGTCAAAACTTAAGCGTCCCAAATCTTACCCTACCAAGGAGCCAACAATAGTTATGAAACCTGAAGTTGGCGCTTTGACAACAAAGTTATCTGGAAAACCCAATACAATTCCAGAAATGACCGCCGACAAGCCAAATGCCACATATGAGGCCACATGTGCCCAGTCCACAGGATTAAGCATGCGCGAGAGTCGACTTGTGCGGCCCAAGAGCTATCCAGCATCCAAGCTAACACCGCCGAAGGATTCGAAGAAAGTTACACGTAGCGGTGCTGCTATTCCCACGATAGTCGAAGGAAGGCTACGAGATGCGACGCCACCGCTTGCAGTCGAGGAAAAGTTTGAGCTCCAGACGCCAAACATGAAAGCGAATGTGGAAACTTCTTCTTCAAGTGATATTAAGGCGAATACCATCAAGAAAATTATTAAGGTTTCTAAGAAGTCTAAGCTAGCACAGCCACTGCCAGTCACACCTACTACACCAACAACAACCACAACAACATCAACAACGACCACGCCTGTTGAAACTTCCAAGGAGTCCAGTCCCGCAATAAAAGAAAAATCACCCGAAAAGAAGCCAAGTAAAGGGTTGCTCTACGCTATAGGACAGAAATTTGAAAAACTACGTGACTCAGCTATGAGCAAGGAAAAGAAAAGCGCCTCATCCAGCCCCGCCTCTTCAGCAAATGGCGCCGTCGTAAAGAAGAGATCTCCAGATAATGCCTCCCCAGAGAAGATAAAGGAAAAGTCCATGCTGCTTAAAAAGAAAAAATCTTTGGATGGCACAACCACAAAGACTGATAAATACGCCACATCGAGCAATGCAATTGAAAAAAA